CAGAAATGGAGAGTCGTGATAGACTATCGAAAATTAAACGATATAACGATAGGTGATAGCTATCCTTTACCCAATATCACAGACATACTTGACAAGTTAGGACATTCTATATACTTTACAACACTAGATCTTGCCTCTGGATTCCACCAAATCGAACTCGACTCAAAAGATATTCCCAAAACAGCTTTCAACACCCCTTACGGTCACTACGAATTCTTACGCATGCCTTTTGGATTAAAAAATGCACCCGCTACTTTCCAACGTGCCATGGATAGTGTTCTCTATGGACTACAAGGCGAACGATGCTTCGTTTACTTAGACGACATTGTCGTATTCGCTTCAAGTCTTCAGGAACATGAACAAAAACTAACTGAAGTCTTCGACCGACTCAGGAAACACGGGTTAAAAGTCCAACCGGATAAATGTGAATTCCTTAGGAAGGAAGTAGCTTATTTAGGACACATTATATCTAACGAGGGTGTTAAACCCAACCCAGAAAAGGTACAAGCTGTAAGAGATTTTCCTATACCCAAATCCTGTAAAGACATCAAATCATTCCTAGGTCTCGCAGGATACTATCGTCGCTTTATAGCCAACTTTAGCCAAATAACTAAACCTATGACTAGCCTTCTGAAAAAGGACGTCCCATTCATATGGGATGAACCTCAACAACAAGCTTTCAATACTTGTAAATCTATTCTTACTACAACTCCTATTTTGCAATATCCTGACTTTAATAGAGAATTCGTACTAACAACAGATGCTTCAATTCACGCCATAGGTGCCATATTGTCACAAGGCGAAATCGGCAAAGATTTACCAATAGCATACGCCTCTCGTACCTTGAACAAAGCAGAATCCAACTATTCCACAATCGAACGCGAATTACTAGCAATCGTGTGGGCCGTGAAACACTTCCGTCCCTATCTTTTTGGCAGAAAATTTAAAATCGTTACTGATCACAAGCCTTTAACGTGGCTATTCTCAATAAAAGACCCAGGAAGTAGACTTGTCCGATGGAGGTTAAAGTTAGAGGAATATGACTATGAAATCATTTATAAAGCTGGTAAAATAAACACAAACGCCGACGCACTATCACGCCCGCCAATATTCAATTCAAATATAATCGACTTAACTTCAGAAGACTCAAATCAAAATAACTCTGTTGACTATTTACAAATGAATTACGAACACTATACTTCACAAGACCGATCCTTCGATACCCCAAAACTAAAAATATCTCCTGACAACATTCTAGATACAAAACATAAAAATATATTTATACCCATTCCTTGTAATCATTCTGAACAAGACAACATTTTCAACGAAGCAATACGTTCTTGCTCTCGAACAAAACCTTTCTTAGAGAAAACTAAATCGCTATACGACGTCGATCTTGTAATTTCAAATGAGAATCAGAATCTATTCTTTTGCACTACAAGACCGAACTATTTCGACCCATGGGATTCTGAAAGTTATTTCAAAGCCTTACTATCATGTCTCCAACAAAGTAATATCCAAAACCTCTCTGTCCATGACTTAAAAGATGACTCAACCTGTAAACTAGTAGGTAATGAACAGTTACGTATAACTGCATATCTAGCAGATTTATATAATTGCGATATTACAATATGCCAAAACAACGTCAGATATCCTAAACCTGAAGAAATTTCAAATATATTAAAAACATTTCATGACGAACCCCTCTCAGGTCACCGTGGTATCGTAGAAACCACCAGAAAGATCCGCGATGAATATTTCTGGAAAGGCATGACCAACGACATCAAAAATTACGTTGATTTATGCGTAACTTGCCAAAGAAATAAAATCCAAAGAAAAAGTTTCCAAGCTCCTATGGTTATAACATCTCAATCTACAGAACCTTTCGAAAGAGTTTCCATTGACCTCGTCTCTTATTCCGATATCAGCGACAATAATAACAAATATATTCTAACTCTCCAAGACGACTTGACTCGATTCGTACAAGCATATCCAATCCCTGACAAAGAGTCCATCACCGTAGCTAAAGAACTACTCCACTTCTGCCAACATTTCGGGGTACCTAAAAGATTTCATTCTGACCAAGGTACCGAATTCACCAGTAATGTCCTAAAACAATTAACCAAATTCTTAGGTTCCAACCATACATTTAACACGGCATACCATCCTCAAACAAATGGCGCTCTAGAACGATTTCATGCCACTTTACGTGACCATATCCGAATGTATCATAACCGCCGTCTCAAAAATTGGGATAAAATAATTCCTTTTGCAGTAATATGTCACAATACATCAGTAAACAGCTCTACTAATTATACACCTCACGAATTATTATTTGGCTATAAACCTCGTCCATTCTATTCCATGAAAAACATTCCCGACTATACAGCCTGTGACTACCTTAAGGACTTAAACGAACGTCTTAGAGTTGCTAGAGACTCTGCCTTAAGAAACGTCCAAGCTATGAAAGAGAAAGCCAAAGACAGATACGACAGTCAGATTAAAAACTTAGTACAATATAAAGTAGGAGATAAGGTATTGCTAAGAATTCCTAGTCCTAACAATCTAGACCCAAAATGGGATGGACCTTTTGAAGTTATACGAGTCGGTTTCAATCATAACTACATTATTCAAAAATCTAACAGGAATACACTCGTGCACGCGAACCGTCTTCGACCTTACCATGCGCACGAAACATTAATTTAACTTAACTTTTACAAATTCTAACTTACAAATAATTACATTTACAGGGTCAGCTGCTCTACAGCAACCCACACCGCTAGTTCCTTAGACACCCTATACAATTCACTATGTTTACATGATCTTTATATTAGTTTCATAATAATGTCTATCATAAAATTATTCTTTTACGTTATCATATACAAATTATACATATTTATTAGAAACTATTTTAGACATAAATCAGAAAGACCTAAAACAAAACTTTCTCTTATTTCAGTGCAACAACGGGAACCGTTGCCAATATAAATAATGATTTCATTGAAAAATTGCCACCCCACGCAAACCTGTTTTACAAAGAAGAAGGCACTATCTCCATATCCGATGAATCGTGGAAACTTATAATCTATCGCGATCTACGACCTTTATTCCTTGCACAAGAATCTCTTCTACGTCTCTCTGCCAACTTCCAACAAATAACTTCCAAAAATACGTCACTTCCAAATATATTTTCCACAAAGACCTATTTAAAAATAAACTTAGAAAAGATTGATAATAGACTATCTGAATTAAATATATATCTCGGTAAGAACTCTAGACAGAAAAGGGAACTGTTAGATGGTCTTAGTTCCGTACTAAAATTCCTTATAGGTACACCAGACGCAAGTGATGCAAAACACTACGACGAATGTATCGATTTACTAGAAAGACGTGAGTTAGACCTCACATCTCTAATGCAAAAACAAATTCAAATAACCTCGTCAACCATTAAAAACTTTAACGAAACCATTTATAAAATTAGATTAGACGAACAAATTGTTAACGAAAATATCAATCGACTAAACAACTATTTAAATAAAACAAATAAAATCATATTTGATCTCAAAGCAAGCGAAGACATT